TTTTTTTTTTTTTTGGCCTTTCCAAAGGAAGAAAAGAAAAGAAATGCAAAGAAAAGCTCACGCTCCACCTGCTTAGTATGTATAGTTTCAGCTCCACCACAAAGAAAGTCACTTCTTTCTTCAGAGCTGTAAACTGGCTAAAAAATGTCCCTGCAGCACAAAATGCAGGGAAGCCCTCCACCTTCCCTGAAGGTTTCGAGTTGTGGAATTCAACGCCTGCCCCACTTACTCTTGGACACACGAAAGAGATCAGGGAATGACTAACTTTGGAATACATTTTCAAGCGGACAGAGAAAAAAGGAAAAAAACCTATCTTGTGTCAGAAAATCGGACCAAGACAGAAGTGGTCCTGCAGGACCTTGAAGACTAAGAAATTGATTTTAATCTGAGCTCTAATGGATTATCGCCCACTCTGCTCCCTCAGAGGCAGGAAGGAAGTGGTGTGTAATTCACAAAAGCTTGCCCTGAAATAAACCTTTTGTCCTTCAGGGTGAAACCACACTAAAGTTTCTGCTGAAACAGACGGAGCCAGCCCCTTCAAAAATCAACACGTTTGGACGAAAGAGTCTGTGGGCTGCACCCACTGCAGAAGAAACAGGCAGGTTTTAGGTGGGTCCCTGGCCTTGGTCCCGGGTAGACCACCCCCCCTGCCCACAAACCAGAAGGAGCCAGGAGAACTTCAGACATGTTTGCAGACTCCTCGCAGCCTCAGTGGCAGATAAAACTTCTAAGTCTTTTATGTGCCAGAAGCCTTTTGCTCCCTCAGATTCGCAGGAGTCATCTCTTGGGGAATTTCTGTAGAGAGGAATAGTTCAAGAAAATCCAAATAACGGACAATGCCTTGAGACACTCCTCCACCCCCTGCTTGGAGTCTCTTCTTTTATTCCACCGTACTGCTCAAAATACATCCCGACTTGAAGAACGGAGGACGGGAGGCTTCTGCAAAGTGCGCATGGCAGGGGAACCTTCCGGCCACCAGCATCTCCCGGAGGCCACTGAGACCTGCCCAAAAACGGCAACACATGTGCAATAGGAAACGAGGCGCTGGACGTGGCTGGGAAATACAGGGATATTCTCGGCATTCAGCCCCACTGGATGGGGAGTGGCTGGCGGAGAGTGCGGTTTACTTTGAAGATGATTTTGCTGCTTCTGACGTCTTTTGAGAGGGTACCAGATTGGTTTTAATGCCCACCAAATTCTCTGTTCAGGAACAGTTTCAAGAGCCCTTTAGCAAACAAAATATTCTTTGAGGCCAGAGGTAGCAACAATGGGCTTCACCAGCCCTAAAAACCATCATATTCACAAAATAGGGAAGTATATTGCACTGGAAAGGAAGCGTTTTATCCTTATATGTTACTGGAAGGTGACTGTTATGTGCCTTCAAGCCGAAACCAACTTACAGAGACAGAACCTAACCGGGCTTTCAAGACAAGTAAGAGATTTGAGAAGTGGTTCCACTCATTCCACCCTGCCAGAGAGTTTCCATCACCGAGTGGGGATTCAAACCTTGTTCTCCAGAGTCCTAGACCATCACTCTGTCCAGTCCACCAGGCTGGGTAAAGGGATGCTTCCGGTATATTTTTAAAAACAACTGTACCCTCATGGTACCCAAACAGCATGTGATTTTGCCTGATTCATACTTGGGTGGGAGACAGCCAGAGATAACTCCAAGAGGGGTGAGGAAAGACATCTCTCCGCCCGCCCCCCCCTCGCCCCCGCTTACGGGCTATCAGAACCCAAAATCCTCTCCCAGAAGAACCAGAAGGATCTGAGCCAGGCAAAGGCAACTTTATTACCCATATGACCAATTTTTTAAAAAAAGTCAAGCTAGGTGCTTGGCTTCAACACTACCGCCTCCAACCTGTTCATTATGCCGAACAGCCCTGATACCGGTGGTGGCCAGGACTGATGGGCATCATCCTCCATTGCCGGTGGAGGGCTGTTTTACGTAGATTGCTGCAGGTGTGCTATTAGGGCAGGCTAGCCCTAGCGAACCCCAGCAGCGTGTCGTGGAAGCTCCACAATCAACACCTGCCGGGCCGGACGCACCCACCAGGTCAAGAGGGAAGCCCCTCGGGAGGGCGTCCGTTTCATCCAGCCCCAAAACACAGCAAGGCGCACCTGCCCTGTGGGGGGGGGGCTGCCCAGGGAGGAGGGCGATCCACTTACTGGCTAAGGTGAGGTGGGCCTTCTGGCTGAGGATGGCGCCGTACTTGTTCATGGCCAGGCACTGGTAGGCCCCTTCGTCCGGCTGAGCTTCCCCTCGCTTGCCCTCCATCTCGCTGATGTACAAAGAACCGTTGGACAAGGTGTAGATCCGCTCGTTCTCAGGGACCTTCGCTCCATTTTTGAGCCACGTGACGGTGATGGAGCCTTCTCCCCGGGCCTGGCAGTCGAGAACCACGGCCTCCTTGCGAGCCACCGTCACACCCTGAGGCTCTTTCACAAAAAACAGTTCGCTAAAGCACCGTGTTCCTGAGAAAGGAGGAGAGCAAAGGGGAAGGAGGGGGGGGTCAGGAGCTGGGTACACACAGAAGCTGCGCGAGCGAGTGGCCTACAGCGCTAGACGGGGCGCCATGTCTCCTTGCCCACACCCATCTAAACGAAAGAAAATGTCACCCCTCAGATTCCCCCCCCCACGGAATCACCCTAAAATAAATCTTTTTATTATGAAATAAGCCTCCAAGACTAGTTGTAGCATTTAAGTGTCCACATCAATGCAAAATATGCACACGCACACACACACCCACCCACCCTCGTAGCCCTTCCACCTTCTGGTTTGTGTGTCTTCTGGAAGGGGCTGGTGGGCCAAGAAGGGACCTCCAGAGGTTATAGGGCTGTGGCCACTCCCAGGAGGCAATGGGGGTGGGGATGATG